AAGTAATCCTCCTAAGCAACTGCCATGATGACGAAATGGCAACCGTAGAAAAAAAGCAGAGGGATGGGCAAATAATACCTACACCATGTCCAAAAATGATAAAATCTTAACGCGAGATTATGGGAGGAGTCGATAGACTGGACCAAATGGCTGGCTTATATGATTTGAACCGAAAATCCAATGTCTGTTGTAAATTCATGGATAATATATTCAAAGTTACGTCGTAAGAAGACGCCATTGATTGATTTTAGCAGAAGAGCTCATTGATGAAGGTCAGAAAACGGCAGCCAATGTTCGCAGTGGAAGGTCTGGTTGCATTTCCAAAAAGAAGAAGACTTATAGGAATACCGCTACTCATTTCCCAATTGAAGGAGGCACAAGACGAAGATGTGCTGGATGTCGCCTCAATAATATTGAAAACGCACTAAAGCGATATGTGAAGAGTGTCAAATTCCACTATGTAAGAATTGTTTCGCACCTTATCATAAACGATGATTTATCTAATATTTTTTTTAAATATAATTTCAGTTTTACTAGCTTTTCCTTCAAAATAAATGAAATAAATTTTAGTTCATAAAAAATATCCAACATACTGTTTAGTTTTTATTATACGTCCCGCTCAAAACAACGGAATGGACACATATGTCCCACCCCCCTTAGGCCCTCCTGGAGGGGGTAGAGACTCCATTTCAAAATTTTCCACTTTTAAGGCCTATACTAAAGCTATAGTAATCAATAAACCAGGAATTTTCCTGCTGGTTGCTTTCAGGTTCGAAAGGGTTAAAGTTACAATTTAATACTAATTATAGAATTGTGGCTCATCAACACACCCGTTGTTGTCTTCGCATCCAATAATGTTGTTTCGTAGTGGATGGTTCTACATTCACTGAATCCACTAGTAAAATAAAATATGAACATTAAATACTCATTGTTGTATATACATGTACTTGTATGTGCTTACTTGAGTGGTCCATTTTCCATTCATCTAAGTAAACATCAAGAGGGTCGGTGTCCAAATTGGTTATCCAGTAAATTGAAAAAGTGGCGTTGACTACCACTTTTTATGTTGTTCCTTTTTAACTTTTAAGTTTTTAAAGTTGTCCCGAACTTGTGACGTATTCTTTATATGTCCTATTTTCTCTTTTTCTTTTGCAACTATCTCAAACACATTTTTATTTCGTTTGGTTTTACCATCTAACATTTTATAAGTATATTCTAAGGCAGGCTCTCCCGCTTAATAAAGATTTCGTATCAGAATTTATTGATCTTATAAAAAATTAATTGGCAATTTGGCAAAGGAGATATAATAAATATAAAATTGAGAAAAGTAAAAGTTCGAATAACTTATTAACGAAATACAAAGAAATAGATAAAAGTGATACATTAGAAATAAATTCCAAGAAATGTTTCGATTGCCTATCGCACATGTTCACTGTGTGAAGAACGAACGCAAAATGGAGTTGTATGTCGTGTATGGCGAAACGATTTCATACAGATCGAATGCACATGTGTTCCATGTATGGCCCCTTTTAGACATTACTATGGTCTAGGAAAAGATAGTGTAATGCTAGTGTTTCTATAATTTTTTCGTGTTGGCGCTGTTTGTTGGAAGTGTTTATGTTATTTATTCCTTTCACATTTTTTGTTGGATTTGAGTTATTGGGCTTAATAAAAATCTACACTAAAATTCCATTTTTTGACGAACGGGAGACAGAAAATAGGAGCTTATTCCCAACCAATGGACATTGACAGTTCATCTCGATTCAGACATCCTATCCAGCCAACAGTTTAAGTTTCTCACTTTATATATCAGCTTCAAATCAATTTAAAACAACTAAAGTTAAATCACATTTCACAAAATAAAGGTTATCTTACTCAAGAGGGATTAGAATATGAAAGTACAGCCGAAGCAGAGGCACAGAAGCTTGACGTTAAATTGTTAATCGAATTAAAAAAAATGTTGCTGTAGTAAACGACCATTCTTAGTAAAGTCACTTCGTGGCTTTCGCCATGTTCAAAAGATTGGCCTTGTGCATCCTTTCAATCTCTCAACCACATTTTTAATACCTCCAAATGTGTCAACATTCGACGGAATAATAGGCCTAGTCCTGTTTTCGAAGTATGTGCAAAATTGGACTTCAAAAATAAAATATAACAGCATCCGGTTCAGAAACAATCCAGTGTTTAAAATGTGCCGGCATCAATTTTACGGAGGTCGGAGGCATGGAAGTTGTATAAAATGCAAAGCAATAAACTTACGTCTCAGTATGACAAAGCTACAATACAAGGTGCGTTCCAAAGTAAACAGAACTTAAAAAAAAAAGAAGCAGAAAAAAATTTCGATTTTTTGGCAAAATCAATTAATTTTATTCAAAATATTCTCCTTCTGCTTCAATACAGCTWTTTGTATGGTCCAAACGCATGTCGAACGAGTATTTAGCTCGTTGGCCGGTACTGCCGCCAAAATGCATGTGTAAGCCTTTCGAATAGCCTCTACGTCTGCAAAACACTTTCCTATCATGGGCAAAATCATTTTTCCGAAAACGACGAAGTCGCACGGTGCCATAACGGGTGAATACGGGGAGTTGTTAAGGGTTAAAATGTGATTTTGGTCAAATAATTGGTCACAGGCGTCCTTCGACTGTTGGATTCTGAGCAATTTTCGTAAGCCCAAATGTTCGGCCAAAATGCGATAAATCGATGTTTTGGAAATGTTCATTTCCACGAATTTCAATGATGATTTCGGCTGATTTTTGAATTCACGCAGTCCTAAAAGTTTAAAAAATTTTAAAACAAAAAATAATGTTGGCTCTTTGTTCGAAGCTCTTTTTCGACATTTAAAACGCAATAACTTCACTTCCAATCAATAAAATGTGATGAAATTCTCACTGGACAATCGATAAAGATAGCAGTTTTAACACACCAGTCGACATATACATATATGGCGCCACCATGGGACGCTAGATTCCAAAAGTCCTGTATACTTTGGAAAACATCTTGTAGAAGCTGACAAGCCGATTATTCACTCTGGTTATATGCAACTAATCGATGGATGCAGTTATCTGACAAACTTTATTTATCTCAGACACTCATCCAATTTAACTATGTACTCCTATTCAGAAATAGCTGGTAAAACTAGATTACTTATAAACCACTTCCTTTAGCCGCACATGAAAAAAATTTAGAAACTGGTATAAATCATATAGAAACACTATTACAAACAATGAACATTCACCACAGACAAGCAAGTAGTATTACTTGTTTCTCCCGTTTTCAAGATTTTGAAAACCTCAATTCAATCGACAAAGGCTAATTAAAAAATTCAATAATAAATAATTAAAATACTCTAGTAACGATAAAATGAATTATCTGGAACAATAAACACTATCATAAAATACATATGAACAAGTAAGGAAGGGCTAAGTTCGGATGTCACCGAACATTTTATATTCTCGCATGACAAGTTTCATCAAGATATCTCCATTTTTACTCAAGTTACAGCTTTCACGGACGGATAGACAGATAACCGGATTTGAACTCTACTCGTCACCCTGATCACTTTGGTATATTATATGTAACCATATCTGACGAGATGCCCTCTGAATTATATGAAAATATCTGAGAGATTTACCGATATTTTCGGTGGAAAATTAGGTTAGGTTAGGTTGGGCAGTCTTCGTGTTCGATAACAGGGATCTTGAAAAGTTATAGTCCGATCACGACAATTTTTCCACAAGATATACGTTAGCTCAAATACCGTATTTGTGTAAAATTTTATTCCGTTATCATCATTAGTTCCCAATGTATATATTGCACAGAGAAGGCATCAGTATTATGTACCGAATTTCACTGAAATCGGTTGAGTAGTTCCTGAGATATGGTTTTTGGTCCATAAGTGGGCGACCCCACGCCTATTTTCAATTTAAAAAGAGCCTGGGAGCAGCTTCCTTCTGCCATTTCTTCCGTAAAATTTAGTATTTCTGACGTTTTTTGTTAGTCGGTTAACGCACTTTTAGTGATTTTCAACATAACTTTTGTATGGGTATGAACTGTATATGGAAATGCCTGACGGAAACGACTCTATAGAGTTTGGTTGACATAGCTATAGTAGTTTCCGAGATATGTACAAAAAACTTAATAGGGGGCGGGGCCACGCCCACTTTTACAAAAAAAATTACGTCCAAATATGCCCCTCCCTAATGCGATCCTTTGTGCCAAATTTCACTTTAATATCTTCATTTATGGCTTAGTTATGACACTTTATAGGTTTTCGCCACTTTGTGGACGTGTCAGCGGGCCGATTTTGCCCATCTTCGAACTTAACCTTCTTATGGAGCCAAGAAATATGTGTACCAAGTTTCCTCATGATATCTCACGGACGGACGGACGGACAGACAGACATCCGGGTTTCAACTCTACTCGTCACCCTGATCACTTTGGTATATATATAACCCTATATCTGACTCTTTTAGTTTTAGGACTTACAAACAACCGTTATGTGAACAAAACTATAATACTCTCCTTAGCAACTTTATTGCGAGAGTATAAAAAGATAAACAAACCGACATTAGCCACCTGTATGAAACATTAGTAGTTAGGGATAGAATCTTAATATCAGAGTTTGAAACATTAAGGTTACCAATTCCACTCGCAAATATACTGAAATAATTGACTGCTGCACAAGTGCACTTGAAATCACTAAAGCAGCGATTGACCTATTGCTTTAACATTGTTTGATATCATTTACCGCAACATAAATGTTGAACTCGAATAGCAACCAAAGCTACCATGACTTGTTCGGTTCTCTCAAAGCAAACAGTACATAATATTATACATACGACTATCTTCTTGATTTGTTTCTGATAGCAAAACAGGTAAAATTGGTTTCCGTGACACCCAAAACCGGTASAAATTCTGTTTCGAATATCATACCAATAATTTCAGAATTCATGCCACCTACTACTTTTCTTGATCGGTTTCAGTTCCGATTCCACAGCAACCCTGAATAGTATAAACGCCTATAATGCAAGTTATATTACTAATGCTGGTATTGTCACTAGCAAAACGAATATTTGGGATTGCGTTAGTATAATTTTAATAATTTATTTATTGTATTTAATTTAATAAAAATTTACTTATTTTCAGAATAAAAAGAGTTATGAGCAATTTGACGTGATGGTGAGGTTGATGGAGAAAAATCCTGACCTAGCCAGAGGAATGGCCCCGTTTGGCTCCACAATAAAAAAATAGGATAGACTTATATTGCTGCTGAAATAAATTATATCGGCCCTCCAATACGAAGTGGTAGCGAATGGAATAAGGTAAAAATAAAAAAATTTTATTGGATATATGTACATATGTATATATCTGTATGGTATTGTAGGTTTGGTTGGACTACAAAGTAAAATTAACCCATTTACAGCCAATGGTCGACTTGTCGACCAGCAACTTTGAAAAATCACCGAGTCGAAAATTATCGAGATATGTCTTGAAGGCAATAATTGTGTGTCAACTTGCATCTTTCTGGTCTTGACAAAAATTTCTTTTACTAATTAACTAATTTTTTTTTTAATCTTATCGGATTTTCGGAACACCCATTTTTTTTTTTTAATTTTTTGAAAAAATTCGGAAAAAATAGAGACAATTTTTGAAAAATAATGAGGTTTCCTCTATATTGTAGTGTTTGTCGCCTACTTTACGCAGAATGTATTTTTCAGCAGATCGGTTGTAGTATAGAATAGTAAGGAATGCACAAAATTAACTGGTGGATAAATCGACCACCGGCCGAAAACGATACGACAAATATTCCACTTTACTATTTTTGTGTCCTTACATCTAGGAAGTTAACATAATGCATGCGAGCTTAAAACTAATGAATGTAAATGTTTATTGTTGTTTCTGTTATTATTTAAGAGAAATTAATGTAAAGAAAGATTAAAAGAAAGATCAATTAGCAAGTATGGTAATTATCAAGTGAGAAAAACAGAAATGAGAGGTGAGTAAGATATGTAGGTAAAGAAAGAATGAAGAGAGAAATTTATGTTGTTGGTAGTGGGAGTACTAGTATATAACTATGTATATATTTTCAATTTAACAGAAAATTGCTAAGTGACCCCTTGGAATATTCGTTTGAATAAGAAATTCATGCAGTTTGGCATATTCTCACACAATCTGTCTATCGATGAGCAGATTATTACTTACTACGACCGTCAATCTTGCAAAATGTTTCGATTTGGCTTCAAATACTGGGATTTATGTTCGTCTGATGGCTATTTGTATTCGTTAATTCCGTACAGCGGTGTAAATGAGAATCGATAACTCGAATACAAAAACTGCGGCTTAGGTAAAATGGTCGTACTAAAGTTTGTGAAACAACTTGACGATCCACGTGAACATTGTGTTGCGTTTGACAACTTCTTCACTTCTCATAAATTGATGAGTCACTTCACCTCTTTGGGATATTATGCTATCGGATCCATTCGTGACAATCGTACGAATAAAGCGAAACTTACTGACGTGCCATCATCTAAGAAGAAAGAACGCGGTTAGACATTTCATCAAAATAATAATGTGCTGATAGTTCGATGGAACGACAATTCTGTTGTGACCATTGCATCGAATCATAAGGAAATTGAACCACTGCATAGTGTGAAGCCATGGAAAGGCGGCAAGAAATATTATGTTGATAAGACACACATCGTAAGAGTATACAATAATCGAATGCGTGTTGTTGAACTCACTAATAGCAAATGGAATTGATGCTGCAATGGTGAACGCTTGGAAAATTCATTGTGCTATCGTCAAATATGAAAAGAGAATGTCACGCACCACCGAAAGATGTATCGCACAAAAAATAGAACTATTAGATCAATTACAGTTCCGTATTTACCTTGCAGAATCTTTGCTTCGAATGGCAATATCGTCGATGTCGTCTTCGCAGACGTTGACTCCACAGTCAACAGCTGTTCGAAAAGACAAAGTTGGGCATGACATTAAAAATTAGAGAAGCCTGGTCGTTGTCAAAATTGTCACAAACATTCGCTTCAATCAATTCCATGAAATATAATATAAAGATAAGATATTGAACTTTCAAGAAAAGTTTTTCAAAACTTACATACTTATGACGTGTATCTTTCTTATATTGTAAAAAAATTTAATATGAAATTGAAAAATTGAACGAAATAAATGTTTTGATGAATTTTAATAAAACACTGTTTCACTTTAGTAAGTATCGTTTTCGGCTGATGGTCGATTTTTCGACCACATTCCCGTGGCTAAACGGATTAGTGTAAAAATCTCAAAAAATTTAAAGCATTGAGATTTTTCATACTAAGCAGAATATAAAGTTAGAATGAAATCAAAGCAGTGGATCTAAGTGCGGCCGGAAATGGGTTAAAGAGAAAATTTTCAGAAAATAGTAGAGATATTGTAGTCACGGGTGGAGGACCTTACAGGCCGTGAATTTAAGGGGAATCTAAGTTGGAACCACTGCAGTTGCACCAACAAATTTAAAAGAAAGAAACGCACATGTGAAAGGTTATACTTATGCAACTTGCAAGAATCAAAGCAAGGGTAATGTGTAAAACCAATAATATAGAAGTCAGGGGGCCTATTCTGTAACTCGATTCGAAACAAAATTTACTCGAATTCGCATTTTTTATATTCCGTAACTCGATTTTCGGATTTTCAAGCCAATTTTCGAATAAAATATTCGTTAGCTTTTGAGTTGTAGAAAGCAAAAAGGAAAATTGTACGTATTTATTCTGGCACAGGGTGGTACAACTTTCGAAAAATTATAAAGTAGATCCGATTTTCGAATAGAATACATTTACGAATCGAGATACAGAATAGGGCCCCAGGCGGATGTTCGGCCAAGTTTTCCCATAAATGTGTCAATTTTAGATATACTGTTATGAATAAAACATGCTCTCTTACCTTCATTGGGATAACTCATATATTGGCCGATAGTGTGATACAAAGTCACCCCGAAGATCGAAAATCTTTAATTTAATTTTATGACATATAGACTTACCATTACAATTCCAGTTACATATTTCACACATTACTCACATTTTCGATCAAAAGTCAACTGTAGGTTCCCGAGTATAAATATGCGGATTTAAACTATTTTTGGTCATAAGATGTCACACACTACAGACATTATTCATGCAAAGTTTTGTCGGGTTATATAAATTGCTTTTTGAATTGAAGGTACTGGAAACTGAACGATTCAAACGGAATTTAAAGTTGTGCTAAATGACAAGTGGACGTGGTTGTTGTTTGATTTCGTCCATTTTTACAATGTGACATAAGAATGTAAAAAAATGGCACATACTAAATTTTGTCGAAATCGGTTGGTCATGTCACGTGATATGGGATTTCACCAAAAAGTGGGCAATGCCACGCCATCGTCCAATTTTCACATCGCCTCTGATAAACTTCTCTTGTACCCAGTGGTGGATTTACACTAGGGGCAGTCGGGGCAAGTGCCCAGGGCGGCAAAATTTGGAAAGTAAAACAAAAAAAGGGAGCTGTCAGTTGACAGCTGGCAGATGTGAAACATCTAAATTATTTTATAAAAGTAATAGCAGGGAACGTATATTTATAAAGAAAGTTCTTGAACTGATTCTGCGAGGACAATACGCCTAATTATATACGCACCCTTTCATTGCTCTAAAAGCAGCTAACGGTTCCTGAGTTTCTTTACTCTGTTCGCAGAATACGATCAGACCTCACTCAGTAACAGTTTCTCTAGTCCTGTTGTTATGTTTATTTGCGCATTTACATTCTATAGTACCGTAATATATGCCGCCAATACGTCGCCTACTTCAAACGACGCTGTGGCACATACAGTTACCTACAAAAGATTAGCATTACAACGTACGCATTTACAGTGATATAAAAAAATACAAGCATAAGCGCTCCGACAATCATGTTTACCCGCGCCTCTAGATTTTTCACATCAAAAATTATTTTAAGTGTTTTCAAAAGTTCTAAACAAGAAATGTTTATTCTTTTAAATAACCATTTATTATTCAAGAGATAATTCAAGAAATATACTTTTGAATCTAATCAACTTGCCACTGTGCAATACCGCCAACTGCAGTCTGTTCTAAAAATTTATCTAGGCTCTATCGGTAGTCATTTTTACATTTGACGTTTACATGAATACAACCTGCAAAAAATTGCACTGATTTTGAGCATAAATATACAAATATACAATGTCAATCATGGCTGATGGACGCAAAAAATTGAGTGGATCTGAGTATCGAAAACGCGCTTTGGACAAAAGTAAAAAAGAACAAGAGGTTTTGAGTAAAACTCCTAAGCTAGATGATTTTTTCATGAAAAGAAAATGTGTTATACAAAAATCAAAATCTAGTAGTAGAGATTGTACGAATTTAGATTATGACGGTTTRTCGCGACAATCTTTTAAAGTTCCATATATTTCCAAGAATAAAAATAGGTTATTTGTCGATGTGTATAATGTATATTTATTGCTATTGTTAGGTTAATAGAATAATAGTAAATTTTGACAGGTTATGATGCATGTTCTACTTTAACTTCAGAACAAACTCCGTCTACGAGTCATAAGGCTGATAGTACCATGACTTCTTCGTTACCACAGAACATGCGTCATGGAAGCGAACTTCAAGATACAGCGATAAATACAGAAGATAATGAGCATGGAAACATTATGATAAGCGATGTTCCAGGAGAATGGGTTATAAACGATTCGACAAGAGATTATATAGCTACCCATGGGTGTAAACAAAATGAAAATTTCAATTTCTCCAGTACAAAACGTGACTACAGTGATGGAATTTCCGGTGGCTGTCAAAGTTACTATTTGTAAGAAAACTTATCAACGGTGAGAAAGTTCAACGCCCATGGCTCATTTACTCTTCTAAAAATGGGTCTGTATTTTGTGCAGCTTGTCTTCTTTTTGACGGAGACTGTTCATTTAATGGCAAAAACGGATTTAATGACTGGAAGCATGCAGGCGTTCGTGTTAGAGAGCATGAGAACTCCAAACATCATAAAAAATGTATGTTAATCCTTAAGCAAAGATCGGATACTAATAATAGAATAGACCATGACTTAGTCATTCAAATAGAGACAGAAATCTCCTATTGGAGAAATGTTTTTATAGGAGTAGTCGCTGCTACTAAAGGCTTAGCTTTTCGAGGACTTCCATTCCGAGGAAGCGATGAAAAGTTCGGGTCACCAAATAATGGAAATTTTTTAATGCTGATTGAATTTCATGCTTCTTTTGACCCATTCCTAGAAGAGCGTATTCGAAAATTTGGCAATAAATGATCTGGCAGTACGAGTCACTTATCAAAAGCTCTCTACGAAAGATTTATACAGCTTTTATCAGAAAAAGTATCTTCTATCACAGCTCAAGAAGTCAAATCAGCGAAATATTATGCGATTATTGTAGATTCCACACCTGATATATCTCATGTCGACCAACTTTCGTTTGTTATCAAATACGTGCTAAAAGATAAAACGCCTGTTGAACGTTTCCTGATGTTCGTTCAAAATTCTAGACATAAAGCTGAAGATTTGCTAGTTGCTGTATTATCGTTTCTCGAGTCTTTTGATCTTGATCTCACCGACTGTCGAAGTCAGTCATATGGTAACGCTAACAATGTATCAGGAATTTATTCAGGTTAACAGGTAAGAATTTATGAAATTCATGCTCCTTGTGCTGCTCATTCTATGAATTTAGTTGGAGTTCACGCAGTAGAATGCGCGCGAGAAGCTGCTTCTTTCTTTAATACTGTACAAACTTTATATAACTTTTTTACTGCATCGACCCCCGCTGGGAAGTTTTACAATTTCATACTGGAAAAAGAATTGCGTTACAATCTTTATCTGCAACCAGATGGTCAGCTCGTTATGAAGCTGTTCATGTACTTAATCAACATTTCAACGAAATAATCGAGACTTTGATTATTATTGAAGAAAATATGGAAGAGAATGCAATTACAAGACAAGAAGCTAAAGGTTTACGAATTAAATTGGAGCGACTTGAAACAGCATTTATGCAGATACTTTGGCATTTTTTACTCTCACGATTCAATGCTGTTAGTCAAAGATTGTAGAAAGTTGATTGTAGCATTGCTGACATGATCGACGATTATCGTGGTTTAATTAAAGTTGTTGCTGATACGAGAAATGAAGTCGAAATCTATGAAAAAACTACTTTAAATATTTCAGAGATAAAATAATATAAAACGACAGTTTCGAGAAAAAGAAGGAGAAAATTACATGCTGATGAATCACGGGATGGAGGTGTACAACTGTCAGGTCGAGACCACTTTAGAGTCAACACTTTTAATTTCATTCTTGAGAATTAGATTCTGATTTGCGAAAAACATGTGTTGCTTATGAAAAGATTTATGAAAAGTTCTGTTATTATTGAATTAAACGTTTACAAAATGTTTATTCTTCAAATCTTGAGTCCTCATTGGAGGACGAATTTGTGCACTTCCATGCTTATTGTACTGAAAAAAAGATGGAACAAAATTCACCTTCCGATATTCTGAAACTTTTGCAAACTAAAGTACAGATTTTCCGCAGGTAGAAATTGGATATCGAATACTTATTACTTTAGCTGTAACAAACTGCAGCGCAGAACGATCGTTTTCTTGTTTGAAAAGAGTTAAAAACTACTTACGTTCTACAATGAGTGCAAATATACTCAATATAGAATAGCTTAGCTATTCTATGCATCGAATCAGATGTACTTCAACGTTTAGATTGTGAAGATTTAATCGACCAATTTTTAATTCAAAAAGTCGGGCTCAGTGCAAAATTTGTAGTTTACTATATATATACTGTCTCTTATACACATCTAGATGTGTATAAGAGACAGATGTAGGGATTAGGCCAAGTTTTCACTCAAATTTATCTATTTTAGGTACAAAGATATACTGTTATGAATAAAACATGCTCTCTTACCTTCATTGGGATAACTCATATATTGGCCGATAGTGTGATACAAAGTCACCCCGAAGATCGNATATATACCTATATCTATCCCGTTTAGTTTTATGTGACGGTTGTACCGTTAGGTGACAAAACTTTAATACTCTGTAGCA